GACACGTCTGAGTTTCAGAGTATGTGATAGCTCTTCTTACCGGAGACTTGGCTCACTCTGAAGGAAACCTGTTTATAATTCATTTGCTTACTTATCAGAGCGCAGTAGGAACCTTTGATGAAGTAATGATCCTTTGATAATGCACAGGTTAAAGCTTTGGTTTAAGAATGGGGCACTGTCCAAGGTGCTGAAGAGAGGCTCCAATGAAAGCTATCTAGGAGTCCAGCATGTTTGGGCACTGGCGCTCCTCCCCTGCCTCTCCACCACTACCCCGAGACAAGATATATGTACAAATAATTAAGGCATTCATTCTACTGAGGACCAATCTGGTGTCAAACAATTTGGAAACACATTTAATTAAGTATAGAATGTGATTTCTTTGCATTGAGTAACAGATACCTGAGACCTTCTGTGATGGTGTACCTGCAGTGTCCTTTCTCTAACTATTTAATTATATTTCAAGTTTCACTCTAATCCTTTGGGGAGGACGTGGCTATCATGAGTAGTTCTTACAGAAGTAAGGGAAGAAAGCAACAGCTTCAAGGTATCACTCAGCAAGGGAATAAAGAGATTTTTTTTGACAGGGGCAGTGATTCTCAGACGTTTGTAAGGTTTTAAAACCATGTATACTTTTTGCATGCCTGTTGGTTTTTTATTATCTCCACGGTGAAACCCAATATGACCCTGTCTTGTTTTTCAGGATAGCTAGGAAGCAGGGAACTAGGGAGACAGTTTCCTTCTCTCTAGCCTTACAACAGTGTGACACCCAAGGGAGTGTGTGGGTAGGAGTAGCTCTAATGAGGAAGGAAAAGCAGGCCGACTCCCTTGGGCTGTGTGGGAAGAAAGTGAAGCCCGACATTGTCTGGGCTGGAGAAGCAGCAGCTTCTGACACTGATAAATGATTCAACTGAAAAAATAAATGAAGAACCTCTAACACCAGAGCCACATTATTATACCATATGCCAGGGCAAGGAATTCTGTAGGCGTGAATCCTTAGATATTGTCCAAGAGGGAGTATTAGTTGGCAACCAGACAACTTAATTATAATAGACTCACTTGGCCTCATGTTGCCTTAATCCCTGAGGAAAATATGACCACAAGTTAGAATAATAATTTTGTCTTACCTGATAGAGAACAACATCAAGAGATAGGGGAAATACACTCATGTAGCTGTAAGTTGTATATTTTGAATCTGTTTTCTGCATAATACATAATTGAAGGCTGAATTACTGAAATGATAATTTTCAGAGGAATATGGAACAAATTTCAGATGCAGGGAAATCTTAGCATTGCTGTAAGAATTTATTTCTAATTTAAAACCCCTGTGATTCATATAGAATAATGACCTTAAGAAAATTTTGTTATGAAATAGATTTTGTGCAGAAGAACTACTCTGTAGCATATTATAGGTAAGAAATTTCTCTCCAGAGCCTTTTACCTTTTTGATTCAGGCAGAATTTTAGATGAAATTCAATATGGTTATTACAAATGATTTATGAACCTTAATAGTCATGAAGGAAAATTAGAAATTTTAATAATTGGAAAGAAGAAAGTTATTTAAATCAGCTTTTCAGTTTATCTGCTTAAATTGAACTCATCTATTTAAGCCATTATTGTATAATTTGAACTTTCTGACACTTTTAGATATCTAAAAAATTTCTTCTGGGATTCTTATTTCATTTTTTAAAAATGTTTATTGCTTCCCTTGGGCTAGGTGAATGCAGCCTGTATAGAGTGAAGCCTGAATTATTTCATTCTCTCTCTTGTTTGGAAAGAAAAGGCAATTTGGGATTAACTTGACATGCTTTATTTCTTAAATATTTGGGAAAAGAATAGCCTTCCCCGCTACTTTTTTTCTATTTCCAGATACTCTGAATGGCGTGGTGAGTCATAACACTGCAGCAAACTTTGTATGGCTTTCTAGAGGGAAAGCATCCTTCTGGGTGAGAAATGAGCCCTGCCTCGCTCAGTTCCTTGCACACTTGCAGGGAAGGACCTCGAAGGGTGGGAGAGCATAGCTCTAAAGTGGACAGCTGAAAACAGGAGACATCTATGCAGTTCTGTCTTTAATCTCTATGCAGTTTTTCTTTGTATATCATAACAGGTGGCTAGTGGTTATAAAGAATAGTATCTTCTTCATTCACTCCCCTCCCACCTTAGTAAATTGATGTTCTGGAGATATATTTTAAGTGTATTGTGTGTGCCCTAGACAGACCATTAAATGCCCTTGAGGTGTACACTTACCCATTTTGAGAAACATGGCCTTAGGGGATTCAGAACCTCCTAATTGTACCTTTTAGGGCTGTTGGCTTTAGATTGATCTGGGTCTGGATCTTTCTAAGTCACATGTCTGATTTCAGATATTTTCTCCAGATGATCTGCCATCTATTAGGACACAGGATTCTGGGCCTCGCTTCTTCTGTCTCAGTATTATCCATCTCTTTCCATCACTTGACTAGCACTTGGGCTTCCATTTGCTAAACCATCTACTTCATCCTTAATCCTTCCAGTTGGATTTACTTTCTGAAATGTTTCTGTAAATGCCTTTCATGCTTTTCTGCTGCTAACTCTATTGACTTTTTTTCGTTAGATTGCAGCCTTCTCCATCTGTCAATATTTCCACTATTGTTGCTGAACCATTTTCACAGGCCATTTGGGGCAGGTTGATGCTGTAGTAGCAGTACTTCCATGGCTTTCAGCAATAGAGGTTTATTTCTCACCCATAAAATTATGAATGGCACTGTGCTCCATGTTCTCTCCACTCCTCCATCCAGTCTGGAGAAGCAGCCCACATCTGGAACGTTAGGATTCAGGGTAGAGGGTAAAGAAATGGTAGGACTGTGTGATGGCTCTTTACTGCTCAGGAGGATGGTGTACCTCTTTCACTCGCATTTAATTGGCTAAGTCCCACAGCCAAGACTGATGTTGATGGGCAGGAAGTGTAGTCCTCCCCCAAATCAGATCTGGTAAAGAGGTACAGAATAGATTTGACAATGATACAGTTTCCCGCAGCCTTATCTTTTCAGCTTATATACTCAGAATCTGACACAGTGCCTGTCAGATCATAGATATTAAGTAGATATTTACTTCTTTCTTCCCCAAATACTTTCTGTGGTGGTGTTAGGGACCTCAGCCTAACTCCACCTGTTTCTTCTCTGGATCCTCTTCATCCTGTACTTTTACCCAATTGTTGATCATCAATATTTTCATTCTCTTCATCCTTTCCCTGCAATTTCCAAGTCTATTTTGCTGTTTTGGAAATCTAGAATGTTTAAAAAAATTTTTTTAATGTACTTGTGGCTGTTTGCCTCACATGGTATTTCAGATGGTTCAGCAAAACAAGGGGAACATAAAGTTTTGATTTTAAATCATATCAAGACACTATATATACTCTACCATACAGGAAAATAGTCTCATCCAGAAGCCCTTGTGAGGTCCGGCCATAGTCTTTAAATACTCTTTTCAGAGCTTCTTTGTATTAATCACTATCTATCTTTAAATATGATGGGCATTTTGTCTTTACTTTGTAATCCCTGAATGCTTGGAATGGTTACTGTAGACTTAAATGTAGCCAGCTTTGGAATGCAATTTTTATTTCAATACTTCAATTCCTCCATTAGATTGCAATTTACTGAAGGAAATAGGATTTTTTACCCTTCATACCCTGCTTTTTTGCTACATGGTAACACATGCTGGCTGAATTGAATATGATGATGATAGTTGCGATTTTATTAATAATCGAGGTAGAGTAATTCTGTGTGCTAGCTCTCTGTAAGTTTGTTAAATGATTATACAGTTAAAATGCATATTTAAAAAATATTTTCTTTTTCTTTTAAGATTTTATTTATTCATGAGAGACAAGAGAGACAGAAACACATGCAGAGGGAGAAGCAGGCTTCCTGTGGGGAGCCCGATGCGGAACTTGATCCTAGGACCTGGGATCACGCCCTGAGCCAAAGGCAGACATTCAACCACTGAGCCACCCAGGTGTCCCTAAAAAATATTTTCAATTGTAGTGCCCTAGTACCTACCCTTTCTGAACCTACTGGATTTAGTTGCTACTGCCAGCGAGGGCAGCTCTTTGCCTGAGAGCTTTCTCTGGCGTTCTCCGGGAGCAGCCCTCAACCCAAACACTGATAGGAGTTGATAGATGGTTGCCCTACTTCCCTTTTTCCCCAGTTAGAATATCTAAAGGGTGTTTGACACTTTTTCCCAGAGCTCCCCAGTGGGACTGAGGCTGCGTTGCCCACTGTGCTAACTTGCTAGATCACACACCCTGCGTTGATGCTCATCTCTTTCCTGCCTCATTTCTCCACTATTTGCAATCTAATCTTAGTCTCAGAGTTTCTAAATCTAATCCAAACCAAGACAAAGAATTATATGTCAAAATTTAGGATGTCGGAGTTTCTCTGTTTTAGTGACACCAACTATATATCTAGTTTAAAAATTTCTGGTGGCCACATTTAATAAAGTGAAAAGAGTGAAATCAATTTTAATAATACAGTTTATTTAACACAATATATCTCAAATATTAGCATTTTAACATGTAATTGCTGTAAAGCCTATTAACTAGATTTTTTGGAACTAAGTCTCTGAAATCTGGTATTTTATACTTACAGTGCATCTCCATTTGGACAAGCCACATTGTAAGCACTCAGCCACATGTAGCTAGTAGCTACCATATTGAACAGTGGTGATCAGTTTCCTACTGTTGTAGTCCATGCATCAAAATTTAGGGACTTGCTGGCTCTTGAATATGGAGGAGGCTGTCTGGTGGGTCATAGTTTCCATTCTCAGCAAAATCTTACTTGCCTTTTAAGCTGGATAAAATCTCTAAATTTCTACACTGACAGGTGCCTTGTTTAGTCTGTGTGTATGTATTTATGTTCTTTCAAGAATGAGCCTCTGGTAATAATAACTCTGAGACTTATTGCCTCTCACATGTTTCCAGGCAAAATATAGACAAGATCTTAGCATCCCTCTGTTTGTGTGTTTTTCAGGCAGAGGGTACCAGGCTTCAGCGTGAACTCCGGGGATATTTAGCAGCTATCAAAGGTAATGTGTGTGAATCGTTTACTGCATGTTGTTACCAAGCACAAACTGTTCTTGAAATTCATGAGTGGCAGGATTAAGTGTTAATTACAAAGTCATTTGGCTTTCTCGCAAGATGAGTGCTTCAGCACAGGTGTTCATTCCACCCACTCCCAAATTCCCATTGAAATGATAATCAGAATATACAAGGAAAAAAATGTCTACTGTTATGCTGGAAACAAGGAATAAGTGCCTCCCACACCAGAGATTTCTAGGAAGCGTAGTGAGATAGAGTGAGCTTGAGACTTTAAGAAAAGCTACAGCCAGTTCATAGCCTAAGGGAGAACGTGACTGAAGAGGACAATACTCACAGACTTACACTTAAGTCCTCCAGCTGGAAGGAGCAAGGATCCATGGCAGAGGCAGGTGGAGGGTTATCAGACACCAAGGCCCTGGACCTCCTGTGACTTGTGGGGACCAGCCGTGCTTGCAGCCCTGTCGCTGTACAGAGACAGAAAGGCCATGATGTTGGTTTCAGGCCTCAGCCATGCAAGGCAAAGAAATGAGGTGATGGAGGGAGGAGAGGGTGGCAGGGAGGTGTGCTCTGCTATACATTACACAGCTCTTTGCACTGTATCTGGGTGCACCCATGGATGTGAAGGCAGACTTCAAGATTAGTGGGGTAAGAGTAGGACATCTGCAAGGGGTCTTGGGTAAACAGGGGAAATACTCAGGAAAAAGTAAGATTCTCTACCTCATTCTCTACTCCCTCCTTCTCAACAGATCTATTAAAGAGTTAAATATGTATACAAAGAGGTGTCCTAAAGTACTAGAATAAAATGCAGTCGACTTAGTCTCTAGCCTTGGGCAACAAGGTCTTTACAAGGCCAACCCAAAAGACAGATGCCATAAAGGGAAAGATTGAGAGGTTTGACCTCATAAATATATCAAACTTACGTATATGTTTAAAAATTATTTTGACAACACATTTAGTGAAAGCGAGCTAAGATATTAAGACCTCAGTTAAAGTACACTAGACGAATGTCAGTTGGTTAAAAGAAAAAAAATAGGTAGAATGTATAAAGAGAAAATTAGTCAGAGAAGAACTGGTAGATGAGTAATAAGTGTGAAAAATAGTTTCAAATTTCAAAAATAGCTTCACTTACTGTCATGGATGGACAATCAAAGAATATTAAATGCAATCAAAAGAGAGATGGGATACTGTCATTTTTCTTCCAAATGTTCAAAGACATTAAAATTGAAAAGACCGTAATACATAGCGTTGGAAAAGCTGTGGGGAGCAGACCCCTTTTATACAGTGTTGGTAAGACAGCTTTCCTAGAGAGCAATTTGGCAAAAGCCTCTAAATGTGTGTTTTTGAGAGAGAGGAGCATGCCATTTGACACAGCACTTCTAGTTCCAAGTACTTATTCTAGCTGTTTCATTGTGGATGTGTGAAATTATTTACAAAGATACTGATAGATAATGAGATAATAATCTTAATAATACAAAAATTTAGTCATAATAATAAAACATTAGTGGAATTGATTTTTAAACCAAAATATATTTAAGTTTTTATAGGTCAGGCATAGAGTTTTAATTCTCATGACGACTCTGAGGCAGATACCCATATCATCTTCATGTTACAGATAAAAAAGTGAGACCCAGAGAGGTTAAGGAGCTTGTTCAAGGTCATGAACTAGTAAACAGCAGGACCAAGATACATACTCTGATCTCATAAGGCTTTGCTTTTTTTTTAATTGAAATATAATTAACATATAACGTTACATTAGTTTCAGGTGTACAATACAATATTCAACAATTGTATGCATTACTCGGTGCTCATCATGATACGTGAACTCTTAATTCCCTTTACCTGTTTCCTCCAACTCCCCACCTACCTCCCCTCTGGCAACTACCAATTTGTTTTCAGTACTTAAGAGTCTTTTTATTTTGCCTCTTTTTTACCCTTTGTTCATTTGTTTTGTTTATTAAATTCCACATATAAGTGAAATCGTGCAGTATTTGTCTTTTTTTGTCTGACTTATTTCATTTAATACCCTCTAGGTCCATTCATGTTATGTGGCCTTGCTTTTTTTTATCCATTGTCTTATCTAGCCTTTGAACGATATTGGCTATTGATAAAGCATTGGTTTCACAAATTAGAGTTCATCTGTACAGGGAGTAATGATAATTTACTATTGGTACTTTGGAATGAGCACACCCTATGTGCTAGGCTGTGCATAGGCATATTACCTCTTTGTAACCACCCCACACAGCTGTATGATAAATGGCAGTCTTAGTTTACATTGGTAAAGAAGTAAGGCTCAGAGAACTTCCACAAATTCATAGAGCTCTTACTTAATTCTTCTAAAAAAATTAATCCTAAGTATTTATAACAGTTTACTCAGAAAATAGAAGGCACTCTAGGTATTTCTTTTACTATTGGTTTAGTATTTGAACACAAGATGTCATATATTATTTCCAGTACAGGATTTTGTTTTTTAAAAATATGTATTTGTTTATTTGAGAGAGAGAGAGACAACATGTATACAAGTTGAGGGAGGGGCAGATGAAGACAGCACGGAGCCTGACATGTGGCTTGATCTCAGGACCCCGAGATCATGACCTGAGCCAAAATCTAGAGCTGGACACCTAATCAACTAAGCCACCCAGGCACCCCCACAGGATGTTCTTTATGTTGGCTGATTTTTCTTTCAATGTTGCCTGCTTTTTAATACTGTGGATAAATTTGTTAAATGAATGAGTACATTGTTTTTTGTTGCTGTTTTTTTTTTTTGTCTTTTTGTCTATATATTTTGGTTAGTTTTACATCCTTAGTAGGAAGATTGCTGTTTTAAACATTTAAGACTGGAATAAATTTTTTCCTTAATGTGGTCTAGGAGAATTTACTGAGTGAAGAGTTAGCTCCAGAGAGGCACTGGTATAGCATGAAATTAGCCTTTTGATGTTGCAGACTGTACTCCTGCTTCCACTGCTAATGGTCACATCCCTCAACATGTTTTCTTAACAAATGATACTCCATTAAAAAGACCTATGTTTAAATTACTTTGGTCAAGGCTGGTTGGAATAAAATTTCAAACAGGTTATTACAGAGCATAATTACTATAGGGCCCTTAAAATGTTAATGTAATCTCCAGAAGCCCTATGGCATGGACAGCATTTTCCAGGTATGTGACTATGGAATGCTTTTCTATTCTCAAAGTCTTACCAAGCATTCGTGTTCCTTGGGGCACAATTTGAGTTTTGGGGAAAAAATGAAAGACAAAGGGTAGGCATTAAATAAATCATAATTTGGATTTTCAAAGGGCTTTTATGGTCAGTTTTTCTGGCTTTCACAAAAAAAGAACACTGGCTAACTAATTGTACTGTAAAGCAGGCAGCATTACAGAAGAAGGAGATCTGGCCCTGAAGAGTGATGACTCCTGGGTCTGGTCCCAGGGTCAGTGGTGAGAATATCGTCTTTATCCATAAAGTGCCCCAGTTGCTCTCAGAAGCCCTCCAAATCTCTACCACCAACACTCTGGGAAATAGGGTTGCCTTTCATATTATTATCACTGATCTCTGGGTGCCATTCACCTCTGTAGGTCCTTATTATTTCTGCTGATGCTTGGGCTTTGTAAGGTATGTTCTCATTTATTTTAGCAGGAAATGTTGCATTGAGCCCCATTTACGGGCTCAATGCTTTTTGGGAGTGAGAGGCAAAGTTGAACAAGACACAGTGCCTACTCTCATGGAGCTGGCAGCAGAGATAGGGAGAAAGCTAAATAAAAAAAAGGCTTTAACAGAATTGTGTATAATGTGGGTCACAACAGAGGACAAAACCACCCCCCTCCACCTGAGGGCCTGGAGACCAGGTTGGGTCTTCCAAGGAACTTATGCTTAAATGGACCCAGGAAGGGAGTATAAGTATTTATCAGGTGTTCAGATATGCCCCAGACTAAGGTTGGTGCTGGAAGGACTTTCCAGGTAGAAGAAACTACATTTACAAAGGTCCAGGAGGCAGGAAGAAGTTTAGGCTCTTTAGGGAACAAGTAGATAATGAGGGTGAGATAGGTTTGCTTATAGATCGTACCATATTGAGGTTTTAGTCTGTTAGTGTGGAAGGGAGTCATTACATTATTGTAGGCCAGAGAATGAGTCACGTGATCAGATTAACATTTTAGAAAAATAGTTGTTGTGGTTTTGAGGGATTCAGGCCAGAGGAGATGAAGCAGCAAGACTTCTTATAAGTCTGATCCAGTGTTTAATAAGGATAGTGAAAAAAGCTAACATTTATTGAACACTTCTGTGCTAGGCACTGATATAAGCTTTTATGATCTTATTTCATATAATTTTAACTATGGCCATGGCATCCACTGTCATTTAAAAATAATGTAACTGAGGCCTAGGATGGTGAGGTAATTTCCCTATGGTCACTCAGATGAAATGTGTTGGAACCAAGATTTAACAGAGGCTTTAATTATTATGCCACAACGCCTTCAAAAAAATATTTTTCATAATGTTGGCTGACATTTGAATGTTAGCTTTGTAGAAGTACTTTGGTCAACCATTTACATGGATTATTTCATCTAATCCAAATGATAGATGATGGGTATCCAGTCCAGGACAGTGGCTGTGGGCATGGAAGCAAGGGGCACACATTGGTGTGGCTTGGTGATATACTCACTTTGGGAGGATGAACCTGGGATGACTTCCAGTTTTCTAATTGGGACAACTGGGTGACATCCATGAGGACTGGGGAAAGGAGTAGGAACAGGTTTCATCAGGAAGCTCTGAGTTTGTTTCGGGCATGTGAAGTGTTAAGGTACCAGTAGCATAACCAGGTGTTTTTTTTTTTTTAATTATTTTGAACTTTTTTAATGCACAAAAAGAACATCTCAGAAACAGAACAGATACTGACTTATTAATGATGAAGCACTAGATAAAGAAGCCCCCTCCTCACTTAGTAAATAGGAATATAGTGTAAATAGATGGCAGAGAGGTAAAAACTTTAGGATTCAATGCAAATCCTAAAGTTGTATGCAACATTCATATATGGCTTCTTATCTATTAGCAATAGTAGTCTCATAATGATGTATATGACATTCATACTTACTGGTAAGATACTTTTGACTCAGAAGTTAAACAAAAATGGTGGAGAGGTAGTTTTGCCAATGCAAGTTGAGAAAAAAGGCTTTACCTTGCTTTTTTTCCCCTTAAACATCTGTAACCATTTCACTTTGTTCTAATTTTCTTTTGAATTAGCCAAGACGGCAATGATGCTTTTAGAAGCCCATTTCAAAACCCTCTAGGAATGGATTCCCCCAACTACACAATGATGTTTTTGAAACAACTCCTCTGAAAGTCCCTTGGAAGGCTCCACAGTGTTCTTTTGTCTTGGAAAGGTTACCGATTTTGGCTCCAAGAAGACCTGTTAAGATCTGACGAGCAGTTATAGGGATCCATTTCTATTTGCCTGTAGGGATTTGGAATCAGGAGTCACTGGTATGTGTGGCAGTGGAGGCCGGACATAGGGAAAATGAACATGCAAGAACTTTCTCTGCATGAAGCATGGCCCAGATGGTGGGATCAATACTTGTTTGTTGTATGTGACTTGTTATGTGTGAGCATGACTGACCCAGTGGTAGAGTTGACTGTCCTTGAGCCGTCTCACACTCTGCCTCTCCTCCCCCACCACTCACGCTCCCGTGTTTGCTCTCCTTGAATCTCTAGGAGAACTTCCTATCCTTTCCTCTGAGCTAACTGCTGGCTTCTTAAACAGCTCTCTTCTAAATAATGGGCGAAGCTGCCAGATACTTACAATATTTTAGATACTCTTCTAATGGTTTATAGCTGCTGCTGGTTATTGTCATAATGTATTTTAGCTGATGTTATTTTTAACTAAAACACACACCCTCAGGCTGTACAAAGAGGACTCTTGTAGCAGGGTAATCTCTGCAACAAATCTTAGAGGGTGAAAATAGAAGCTCACAAATTTGGTTGCAAAGGGAAAGAGGATGTTGCAGTAAATGCCTTGGAGAAGGTCCAAAATTTTAAAGCAAGGGAAGTGGTTTCTATCCAGTAGTAAATAACAATTTCTGCGGGTGATATTAGGCACCTGTCTTGCAGTTTTGGAAATCACTAATCTTTTAAGAAAATACTGAATATATAGATATTATTAAATGCCAGAGGTAGCATTTAACATCTACTCTGTTTTGATGTTGTGAAGCTACTTTGGAGGGAATTTGGGTTTTAGTTTTTTTTTTTTTTTCCTTTATGCTCTGTCAGCAGAGTAGGTTCAGAATCTCTAAAATCTTTGCCATTTTTATGTCCCTTCAGAGCAAAGCTTGTGTCTTGTTTACCTATGTATCCATCCAAGTACTTCCTATGGAGTGTTCTAGAAAGAATTTCCAAGTCAAAATGGAGTCTTTCCAAATTTTCCATCACTACTTATCCACACAGCAGCAATTAGTAGTTATTTTTGGCTGCTAGGAGATGTATTTACTGCAACATTGTGCTTTCAGCCTCCATGAATAAGGCCTTATATAATTTTATTTTAAGCTTACATTCACAGTTTTATTTTTCACCACAAAGGTTATTTGTCCTACAACACCATCATTTCTTCTTCTTCCTCTTAAGACCTTCAGAACCTACATACCCAGCTGTTTATAATTTCCACCAGACTCAAGACAGATTTAAGGGAAAACTTCAGAAGGCTTTTGGTCTCTGAATGATGGGGGGGGGGTCAATTAGTGGCTAATTTTTGAGGGGTACATTTCTTAGTAGAGGCTTGCTTGTTTTTTGGGGAAGGGTGAATATGGACCCTGGAAGTCATGTTGGTCTGCCTCAGCAGTGACCACCCAAATAGGAGGGGACACTGCCTTTCTCTGTGTCTCTCATGAATAAATAAATAAAATCTTAAAAAAATATATTAAGGACAGCCCCGGTGGCGCAGCGGTTTGGTGCCGCCTGCAGCCTGGGGCGTGATCCTGGAGACCCGGGATCGAGTCCCACATCGGGCTCCCTGCATGGAGCCTGCTTCTCACTCTGCCTGTGTCTCTGCCTCTCTCTCTCTGTGTCTATGAATAAATAAATAAAATCTTAAAAATATATATATATTAAAAAGGGGACATTCTCACTGCCTTGCATTCAAAGTGCTGGGGGACCCTTGGAGGTTTTTGTGTTATTTTTTGGCTGTCTCTACACTTACATGCCCTCATACCATCACTGCTGGGGCTTCATTTTTGGTCGTTTCAGCCAGTGTGGGCAGTACAGCGCGTTGTAAAGGGCATCCTTTTGCGTGCTCAGTGACGTGCTTTGTGGAGAGAGGGTTGCAGGCTTTCCTACTTCCTGTGGCCTGGAAACCTTCAAACTTCTCAAGTGCAAAGACCAAATCTATATCTGAATGTTATTGGAGGAAAGAGAGTAGGGGTGTTCCATGCCTAGAGAGAAACTATTCTATGAAATACCATGCTGACTTTTGTGCATACTCTTCAAGGACATACCTCCATCACCGTAGACATCTTTTATTCTGTCCTTTTCCCATAGTTGAACTCTGAAGCAACTCCCTTAAATCCCACAAGCTTCAGGTTGAGTCTAGATGGTTGCAGCGTTCAGTTTCATGAAAACTTTCCACCATGGAGTCATGGGCATTAAGTTTATGAGATGCTTTTCGTTTCTAAGGAAACTTTCATATCCTCTAGTGGCCAAAGCCAAGGCACCAGTTGGGCCAGGTCTCTGCTTCCAGCCATTAAGGAGGCTTTGGTGCCAGAGGAGGCACTTCTGCAAGTCACCAGCCAAAGCAGACACCGTGGACTGTTCTCAGCCCTGTGCTGCTCCACCCAATGCACACTGTACCCTCTTGTGTTTTGAAGGAAAGGCAGGCAGAGCGAAGACTGGAAAAGACGTGATACTTTCTATTGCTGCATTGCACAAAAACACTTTATACCTTTCCTATGATTCTACAACCGTACTTTTCGCAACACCCACCACATGCAGGTCTAATGAAAATTCTGACCCATAGATTTAAGAACTCCAAGATTTCTGAGAGTTCTGATTCAAAACTCTATATGTAGCTTTTAATAACTGTAACAAGAACTTTTTTTCTTTTTTGTTTTGAAAATGGCTAGGCCTGTTAAACCACTTCCAGCTGTTATGCCCTAGGATCCCGTTAATTTTGCTTCAATCTGTTTCTGTCAAAGGCTTTATTTCTCATATTTAAAGTCATTTAGGATTAGTTTTATTTTTAGAGCTCTGTAGTTTGATGGACGAGTTATCCTAGGTGTCCAGTCTATTTATGGTCCTTTGCTGCTTCATAAGTAACAGCATACATAATAGAGCACGTTGCTTTTGTTGTTTTCAGGACACCTTGTTGATTTTTTTCAAGATGCAGTATGTGCCATTATCATGTAAATAATAGAAACGTGATCAGATACGTTAGAGAGTCACGGGAAGTTGTGACTACGGTTGCAAGTGACTTTTGTGCCTTCATGATTTTTCCTTAAAGAATTAGTGTTTCTGCCGGAGAAAAGTAGTGGACAGTGGAAGAGGTGCCTCACCCATGTCTGTCCAACAAGAATTGTTTTTCTCCAACACTAGGTATGCAAGAAGCCTCAATGAAGCTCACCGAGTCGCTGCATGAAGTCTATGAGCCTGATTGGTATGGGCGGGAAGATGTGAAGATGGTTGGCGAGGTAAGAGCAAGGACCTCAAACCGCGGGAGGCCTGGAGGACTTTAGCAGGCTGCCACCACGTTGCACTTAATCACAAAGGGGGCACCATGTACTCAGAAGACACCGGACAGTTTTACGCTCCAGATCCTCCCAAACTCACTGTGATTATAAAACTACGGGGGTAGAGAGCTATGTGTTACGGAATATTTTTCTCCAGAATAAGAATAGTGTTTTTTCTGTTTCTTACTATACATCTTAGCTCATTTCAGCAGCAGAATCAGGCTCATGGCATGATTCTGTGTACTGATTTCAACCCTGCACACTTCCTTCCCCTATCCTTTCTTGAAAGCAGATTCAGGAGGCACAAAAAGCATATATTTCACTTAAATGCTGCTGGTGCATTTGATGGCCTGCAGAAGCTAAGGACAGATGCAGTCAGCCTGCTAATAGGAATATAACTTCCAGAAGCCTTTGTCCCTAGACATGTCTTAACACCTGAAATCCAATTTGTAGCTGAGGGCCATCTGGCTGGTGGGAAGTGAGAAAGTGAGTATGTTTTGCTTTGCAGAAGTCCCAGTGGGGTGGAGACCAGGGGTGGCTCTGTCTGTATGGTGTTGGGTGCGTTCTTCAACTTCTCAGGCTTTAGCTTCTTTATCAGCAAAGTGAGAATAAGAATTCTTCCTACTAATAACACATTTAATGGCTGTATATTCCTGTCATCAGCAGTACATGTGATTATTACTGGTGTCAGCAAGTTGCCTATCGGGGCTTCTCTCATGTCCAAGTTCTTTATTAAAGAGCAGTGTTTGTCATGCCCACTTCACACGAGCTCACTGATGAACACGGAGGCACAGAAGACCTCAGGGATGCAGCTGCCTGAGCTCAGGAGAAGGTTTGATATGTGATGCACCGATAGGTTAACAGTGCAGTCCTCGGCTGGTGCATGACAATTCTGACATCCCCACATTGATCTTCGTAATCTTGTTAAGACAGAGATGAAAAGATTTATTTGTGCAAAAAGTTCTTGGCCTTGTTACCTCTTTATAAAACTTTCAAAATAGAAATCTGGTAAAAACCAGCCTCCAAACACCACTTTCCAATGTAGTTATTAAATAATTATCTCTTCTCGTGTATATTTCTTCAATATAATGATACCGTTTCAACATCATGTTGTTAAATGCTTTACTCATGTGATAAATTTCCAATGAATGGTGTATAATTAAAAATTTATCCTGAAAAGAATTTTTAAGGGAATAATAGAAACTTGCAGTAATAGCTTTCCAGAACATCACATTAAATTCTGTGAGTGGCAGATGCCACTTTGACGTTTGTTCCTTAAGAAAATGGCTACCATCCCACCTTGGTCCTCATAGGTCCTGCCAAGATTTTTGGAATCTTTAGTTGCAGGTCCAAATAATGGGCTCTTGTGATGGTGAAGGAGCTGAAGGCAGAGCATCTACTCACATCAGAAGACGAGCGTTTTCTTACGGAGGATTTAAGTTTTTTTTGGCATGAATTTCTTGAATTGGGATCTGTAATAATGAGGATTAGTATTGAAAGTGTGAAAAAAGACACAAAAGCAAGTAAGCCCCCAAAAGTAGTTTTCAAAAGTGGTTTTCTCTCTTTCCCCCCCCTCTCTTTCTCTTGTAAAAGACTTTGGAGTGAGCAGCTTAGGTATGGTGACATCAGGGATCCATCTTTGCCATGTAGCCTGTATCCTCAGTAGCCTATGCTGTCAATTAGAACGGGTAGTCTAATTGCCTTAAAATTTTATTGTATTATTCAATAATCCATATTTTTTCTAGCATCTATTATCCAGGGAAGTACTATTTATCTAATTTTAACCATTTCTGATTTTTTTTAGAAGTTTGGCAAAAAGTATCCAATTAAAATCGTTCAGCAGCTTTCTCTTTTTCTCTCAGAAATGTGATGTTCTATGGGAAGACTTCCATCAAAAACTAGTGGATGGGTCCTTGCTGACACTGGATACCTATCTGGGCCAGTTTCCCGACATAAAGGTATTTTACTTTGTGTCTATAAAGGGAAGAATGGAATGATTCTATGTATTTATTGGAACGTGGGCAAAAGATAAGTGGAATTCAGAGTCCACAAGCTGACATCAAAAACGGTAACTTTTCATTTATTTAAGCATAGAAGTTTTATTCTGTTCCTATCAGTTTGAAATGAAATATAGCTACAGAAATCACATTTTCCCCTTTAGCGAACTGCTTCAGCTTTTATTTCTCTACAGATGTCTTTTTCACACTCTAGATATAAAATTGCAAACCAGATACCAAAAATTCCAATCTTTATGTTCCAACCTTCTGATTGTAGAGCATTTGAGGAGAATTTCCATTAGAATAAACTGCAGTCACAAGGAAAGGAGAAACTTCGCTGCAAACATGAGACCAAGATCTGATTGTTCCTTGTTTACTGTTCAGAGCACACCTGCATATTTTTTCTCTCCTTAAAATATTCTGGTTCAAATTGAACTGTTAAGATATAAGCATTTCAAATACATTAGCAACTGGGTCTAAAAATATCCTGTCTAAAACATTTGTCTTAACACTTAGATTCATTGAAGGAAACTATATAAGTGGAGGATTGAACATCGTAGATTTCGAATTGACTCAGGAGGTAGAGATGGTTTTTAATCCATCAGGTCTGTACCTAACAGATGGTAGCATGAATAGATCTGCCCTCCAGTTGTTTTTCCTGCTCAAGGAGGAGTACCAGATAAGAAGAGCTGCCCTTCCTGTAGGGTGACGAAGGCCATGAAACCAACATCCATCCATCTACACTGCCTGAATTAGGTGACTTCTGATGCAAAGCTCCACTTTTAACCTGGCCTGCTTTGTAGCCATTGCCAAACACCAGGACACTAGCTGCCATGATGTGCACTGGTCTTGGCCATGGGACATCGTGAAACTTCTCAGCATTCATATCAACGATGTTGATTTCCTTTGTCCCATACATAATACCTCACAACTAGTTGGCCAACATCCAAAGTATATTTCGGAACACGGGGGCACCAGACACAAATCTCAGTGGATCAGACTAGGTCTTGGTGGCAAAATGTCACAGAGAACAAATCTGAATGACAGATTCCCCTTGATATAACACTTTAGTAAGCCATTGCATGATGGTGTCCTAATTTAAAAGTGTAAGTTGGCTTTTTAAAAGTTTCTGAGAAATTCAAAAATTAAATTGAAAAAATTTTAGAATTCTGTGAGACTGCACACCCTAGCTTCTAGGGAATGCATCTTGGGATATTTTCAGATTATTTGGTAGACAGCCACATTTTGTCTTAGACTTTGCAACATTTATGGAGCAAACAGTCTTAGGATCATTATCCTGCTTCAGAATATCGTTTATTCAGTGGTAATTTAATCTCCATAAAAATCCGTTCCCAATAAATCAGAAGAGAATAGGAGAAAGCTTGGACTTCATACTTGAAACTTTCAAAGCAGTTTGCAACTAGTCTAAATTATTCATATAATACACCTGCATAGTATGGTTTAATGAAGCAAATGAAGGATGCGATTGACCAGAGAAAAACATACTGGAAAAATTGTTCAGTTTCAGGATCAAAAACTTAGCATCATCAAAAAAATTATGGATAGTCTTAGCTTTTATAGTACTGCTGGCCGTAGTTATTTGGAAATTGGCCATACTCTCTAGGAGCATACAATTTTAGAAGACAAATGGACACAGAAGTACCTGCATTGAAACATAGATTTAAAAAAAAAATGATGCAGCACCTGGGTGGTGCAGTGGGTTAAGCATCTGATTCTTGGTTTCAGCTCAGGTCATGATCTCAGGGTCATGAGATGAAGCCCCACATCAGGCTCCCGGCTCAGCACAGAATCTGCTTGTGGATTCTCTCCTTCCTCTGCTCTTCCCCCGACTCGTGCACATTTTCTGTCTGTCTCTAAAAATAAATCAATCTTTAATTAGATAAATTAAATAAAATTATGGTAGGTGATATTAGTTAGTCTTTTCAGTTTGTTCCACATCAGAAAGGTGAAGAACTCAGTAGGACTTTTGCTTGAGCGGTTCTTTTCTTGAGCTCCATGGTTGAGGTCATGCCCAAAGATGATCCTCCAGTAACTGAACCATCTTTACACTAGAGATCTGGGCATAATGACACCTAGCTGGATGTCTTGAAAATAAGTCAAACAATATGCCAAACAATAGTGTTGCTGATATGATCTCTCTCTCTTTCTCTAAAGTCACATTTATAATATCATACCGTACACATAGGGTTTCAACCAAGACAGATAATTGTGAAACCATTTCATAGGATAGAGAGCTGAGGACACAGCAGTGTTTAACGAGGAAAGGAAACCATTTGGATATGGAGGGTAGATAGGATAGCTGTTTCTAGTGAAAGATGTTTTTTCTGTGAAGATACATTTAGGTTAGTCTCTGTTCTTTGCTCACTGAATGCAAGGTAGAAATGGTTTAGACTCTATCACTTCGTAAAGTTAGTGCTGAATGATTATGTAATGAATGGGTTATTGATGGAAAGGGAGCTAATGATTGAAAATACTGAGTGGAGAATTTTCAAAGCGTGGAACACAATTGACTTCCTTGACTTCCATTGAAATCAAACAGTCCATGTGTAGTTAAAACGTCAGGCAAATTTCCAAATATTTACTGCCGCTCACCAGCAAGGGCTATGAAATACCATTCATGAGGGAATGATGTTTGAATTTTCCAACTGTGATTGGCAGGGCACCCAGTGTTATAGTTCTTATTATGCAGCACTGACATCTAAAATCAATGTTATAATAAGAGCCAGCTTGTCATCAACACAGGCAGGCTTACAGCTGTGAGCAGTTATTGTAAAATGTAGTTTAGATCCTATCTTGGCAGCCACACCTAAGTACCTACACGTATATTTACAGCAGTGCGCCAAAGTGAATTTTTTTTAAATTTATTTATTTATGATAGTCACACACACACAGCAGAGAGAGAGAGAGAGAGAGAGAGAGAGAGAGAGGCAGAGACACAGACAGAAGGAGAAGCAGGCTCCATGCACCGGGAGCCCGATATGGGATTCGATCCCGGGTCTCCAGGATCACGCCCTGGGCCAAAGGCAGGCGCCAAACCGCTGCGCCACCCAGGGATCCCCAAAGTGAATTTTAAATTGGGGTTATTATTGAAATTTTAAAGAATACAATAAATTAAACTTTTTACTGTATAGGTCAGTGTGCAATGGGAAGCCTGAAGAAATTTCAGTTGAACCATTCCACTAAACTATGGATAAACTAGTAAATTTACTTAATTAGATTTACTACTGGGTGGTTAAATAAGAATTGCATCATTTTCCATATAAAAGCTAAGGTGAATGAACTCTACCCTTACTTAAAAGATTTACTTCTGTTTTCAAGTTTTTCAAATATGACATAGGTAAGGAAACAAGATTGATTTGTATTTCCAACACAGGTATGTGCATATCAAAATGAGTGACGGCCTTCAGAATAGGCACGTAGTAAGCCCTGCTCTGCACGGACTTGTCAGTTACACAAGAAAATGAGTCATATTATTTATTTCACTTCTTGTTTTTGAACAACAAAAAAAGATCATCTAGTGTACTCTTCCACCTTATTCCCAGGCTTGGAAGTAATTGAATTTTGGCTCCTTTCAAAAAATCACATTCATCTTCAAAAAATCAAGATCTGCTTCTTGGGAGATACTAAAGAAGACTTCCACACCCTGACCCCTTCCCTGAAAGTCCACGAAGCAGAGCTTTATCAGAGTCACATAGAGTTACACAAGGCCACTGCTTCAAAGAACAGTGTTCCTCTGAAGCTATAATTAGGTGTTTGCTAAAAATAATGAGCTTTGTCACCTCATAGGCACACTATACCCACCAAGGTTCCCTGCATGGCTTCACTGCATCCTGCCTAGACTAATTCATCCCATTATCTTTAGGCAAATGTGAGTAAGCTGTGCTTTTTACTAACACCAGTTGGAAGTGGTATAGGTGTAGAGGATGAAGAGATTGGAAGCAGCCAAATGAGAGTAACTGCCCCAACCCACCTCTCACTGATCCTGAAGGAGGTGCAGAGAACTAGAATAGAGTGACAGTGGAATGATGGAGTAGGTTAGAGAAGTCAAGAGGAGGCTGGGGCTGGGGAAGCAGGTGAGGGCACCAGAGTTCAAGATATAAGGAGGCATTGACTCTTAGTTGCTGACCCTGCACCCATGTGACCCTGAGCAATTCTGGACAAGTTAGAAGTTAATCTCATGCAATTCAAAATTCTCTACATGTAAAATGGGAGTAATCCCTGCAACACCCATACTATAGGTTGCTGAGGATCTGAGTTATGACTGTGTTTGTATGCTATAAGTATACTAGTGTTGCTTTCTTCTTCCTACCACATAAAATTTAAAGGTTTTTAAGGGTCTCCACCTGTAGTAGTTCTCAGATTGGACTGGCTGGGCATAAATGGACCACTAGGAGTCTTTTCAAAGAGGCTAGGTACTTGGGCCTTACCTCAGAGTAATTAAATTTGCTTATCATTTGCTTGTTAGTTATACCTCTTTTTAAAAAAGATTTATTTGTTTGAGAGAGAGAGAGAGAGAGTGCACTCACAGTCACATGCAAGCAGCGAGAGGAGGCAGAGGGAGAGGGAGAGAATCCTAAGCATATTAGCCACTGAGCATGGAGCCCAACACAGAGTTGATCTCACGACCCTGAGATCATGACCTGAGTCAAAATCAAGAGTCAGACACTTAACCAACTGAGCCACCCAGGTGCCCCCTACTTTTTTTTTTTAAAGATATTTATTTATTTTAGAGAGAGAGCAAGAGAGAGAGAATATCTCTTTACTTAAGTTTTTAGTGGTTGCTCTGTAATCTATAACATACATCTTTAACTTTTCCTTTGTAACTTCAAATACTATCATAGCACTTTTATATAAACAACATATCTCTAGTCCTTTCTTTGCTTCCTTTGTTATTATTGTCACAAATTTTTAATTTATATATGTTATAAACCACACAATACATGTTTTTTTTTTTGCCTTCTCAATTGCCTTTTAAAGAACTTGAAAGTAGAAACCCAAAATCATATATATATATACCAGAATTTTATAATTTCTGGCACTTACTTTTTTTTGTGTGTGTGTGTGTAGCTTTCCTTAGTAGTAAAATTCCAATGATGAAGGTGAATTCTTTCAGCTTTTGTTTGTCTGAAAAAGACTTTTAAAAACTTTTATTTATTTATTTATTTATTTACTTATTTATTTAGCTTGTGAACAGGGGGAGGGGCAGAGGGAGAAGGAGAGAGAGAATCCCAAGCCGACTCTGCCCTGAACACACAGTCCAAAGTCGGGCTTGATCCCATGACCCTGAGGTCATGACCTGAGCTGAAATCAAGAGTTGGATGTTTAACTGACTGAACCACCCAGGTGCCCCAGTCTGAAAGACTTTATTTCACCTTTATTTTTTGGAAGGTATTTTCACTGGGAATATAACTCTGAGTTGGCATATTTCTTTTGCAGTACCTTAAAAATGTTATGTCATCATATTCTGGCTTGCATCGTTTCTCAAGATGAGTTTTCTGTAATCCTTGCCTTTGTTCTTTATTCTTCTTGATTTTAAGCAGTTTAGCTATGAAGTATCTGGACTGGTATTGTTTGGTGTTGATCCTTCTTGGGTTCTGTGAGTTTCTGTACTTTGATGTCTTCATTATTATATAAGTTTCTCAGCAATATCTCCTTAAATATTGCTTCTGACTTAACCTCTCATATTTTTTGGAAACTACAATTAGACTATGTCAGACCATTTAATATTGTATTACATGCCTTGTATTCTTGATTCAGTTACTTTTCAACTTATTGCTCTATTTTAATAGGAATAGTTTCTCCTGATGTATTTTCAAGTGCACTGTTCATAGCTGTTTTAAGTGCAATTGGCCATCAAAGAAATATTTCTTCTCTGATACAATTTTTATTTTTACCATTTCCACTTGATTTTTTTTGGACTATTAACGTTTCTGCAGAAACGTTACCCCTAAGTTTATGTCTCTTATTCTCTTTTTCCAAGTGGATACTTTAATATATTAGAGGCATTTTAAAATTTTTGTTTGGTATTTCCAGCATCTGGGTCATGTCTGAGTCTGATTCTGTTGTTAGCTTTATCTTTTCTCATGAGTTTTCTTGTGTGTGTGTGTGTGTGTTTCATAATTTTACATTGAATCTCAGACATCATGTATAGTGAAGACTGAAGTAATATTAATGCTTAGAAATGGCATTTTGTCAGGCCAGTGGTGTGGGGGTGCAAATCTGATCATGAACTGAGCTGGATTTATGTTTGTTGGTTATTATTATTATTACTGTTACAACTTTCAGTGAACTATGGCTTTCACATGCCTCTAGAATTGGGCTGCTTAATGCCTTGTGCTTATCTTCTAACATCTATAACGTTTTCAGACCCTTGGGTTGAAGTCTGGCTTTTGCCTCTTCTTTGGTCCACGTAGGGACCACGTAGGTCTGGGATTGAACCCCATGTAGGGCTCTTTGCTCAGGAGTCTGCTTCTCCCTCTCCCTTTTTCAAATAAATAAAAAGCTTAAAAAACCAAAACATTACATAAACAATGTTAAAAAACAAAAGACAAACTCATGAAAAATACTTGTTATGCCACAAAATAGCTAATACCTCTAATACAGTCCTGGTCCTGGGATGCCAGAGAATTTTTCTCCCCATTCTTGCTGCCCATCAGATTTTAGTTCCTTGTATGCTTGTGGTGCAGAAGGGCAGAAGGGACCTGTCTCTCTACACTTGCCCACTCCCTCCAGTGGTAGGCAACTATGGCTTGTTATTGAGTGATGGACTTGTAATGGGGGCAAGGCTCTTTTTTATTATACTTTCTTGGCCTGTCTTTTTTTTTTTTTTATGAGAGGGAAAGAGAGAGACAGAGTTCTTGGCCTGTCTTCAGCAAAGTCAGCCTCATATCTGTGATTGGTCTTGGACCGAAGTTCCCTACCCCTGCCCTAGTGGGAACAGACCTCTGCTTGTTAAAGGAGTCAGACTGTGGTTGGAGAAAGGTTTTATGCCCCTCCCCAGTCGGGAGAGATTTTTTTCTTCTATCCTTCCTTGTGTAACCTTGTGTAACAGTGATATTTGCATATATCACAGGGGCCACAGGGTTTCCTAATCCTCTCCCAGGGCCAGATTGGTTTTGCTTCTCCTCCTGTCTGTTAAGCAGTATATCTTTGCTTGGTCTCTGTGGGCAGGATTTGTTGCCCCCTCCTTAAGCAACCTAAAGCTTTTACCTTGTAAGAGAAAAAGAGCCAAGCAATGGGCAGGGGTTGGTGGTCACTCTGTAGCAGCCATAGCTCACCTCATTCTCACTTGCATCTCAAGGGAGTGTCTTGTTGTCTTGTTCCCAGATTTTCTTAAAGCATCCAGTGGAAGCTGAAGGAAAGAGCTTACCATAAGTGCAATTTGTGTCCTGGGTATGCAGCTTCCCAAAGGGACACATTTGCCCACACTATAGGCCATTTGGCTGACTTCTTTATGTCCACTTGTATGTTGGCCACAACTTCTACTGTACCCTGGTTTTTTGGCACAAATGATTTGTTGTCTGTCTCTTCTTCGAAAACTTTGACCCTCTTCCTAAATAAAAGAATTCAGATTATTTTGCTGCCTTGTGACCTTAGGTCTCTGATATAATCAAGAAGACTTATCCTTTTATAGATTATCCAGATTTTTTTCTCATCAGCATGAGAGTGACATTCATTGCAGCTGTCTGTATCCTAAATGGAAATGGAGTCTCTAAGAATCAATATATTTTTAAGGCTCCTCAGGTGATTCTACTGACCCAAAAGATTGAGAAACACTTCTAAGAAAAAGAACTTTTTAGGAAGTAAATCTGCTTGGTGGAACTGATGTTGGGTGTGAATGTTACTAGAATTATAAAACCAAATCCCAATATCGTCTTCCATGATCTTCAAAATGGAACATTTAAAAATTTAGAATAGAGGCTAAAAGATAGTATAGGTTTATTGCTCCCCTCAGTCAATTCTGGAATTTTTCTGATGTCTGCTACAAATTCTACCTTCAACTATTCACGATCAGCCTAATTATTATTGGAAGGAGAAATACTGACCTAATGGTTTTTACATGAAGAATTGGAGGTGATAGTCTGATTTCCATGTATCATTTGTTTACTGAAATTCTAGTTCACTTCGATCTCAAATCAAGATCCTCAGTTACTCTGGACAATGGAAGCATTTTATTAGTCAAAAAGAGAGTCTATAACCATGCATGCATTTCCTTGTTGGCAGAATCGCATTGCAAAACGCAGCCGGAAGCTGGTGGACTATGATAGTGCTCGCCACCACCTGGAAGCTCTACAGAGCTCCAAGAGGAAGGATGAAAGTCGAATCTCTAAGGTAAGTTGGATCCCACTGTTGACACCACTCTCTGTATTCTATGACCTGTAGCAATTTTGCTTTTTGAAATTAAATACAAGCATGCCTCAGAAATATTGTGGGTTCGGTTCCCAACCATGGCAAGCAAATATTGTAATAAAGCAATCAAATAATTTTTTTAGTTTTCCAGTGCATACAAAAGGTATGTTTACACGATACCGTGATCTAGTAAGTGCATAATAGCATTATGTTTAAAAACACAACGTGCATACCTTAATTAAAAACATCATCTTGCTAAAAATGCTATTATCTGAGCTTTTAGCAAGTCCTAATCACTAATGACAGATTGTATAACAAATATGATAATAATGAAAATGCTGAAATATTGAAAGAATTACCTGAATGTGACACAAAGACGTGAAGTGAGCAAATGCTGCTGGAACAGTATTACCTATAGATTGGCTTGATGCAGAGTTGCCACAAACTCTAAATTTGTAGAACACTCAGTATTGTGCTGCAAAGCACAATGAAGGAAAGCACAGTGAAATGAGGTACATCTGTACTTCCTTTTTAAAGGTGGTTGGAATTAGGACAGAATTGAAAGTGAAACGTGGTACTTGTGGGCTGCTTTCCAGAATTTTTAGTAAGTTTTTTCATGTTATTGGAGAGTTCACATGGCTGACACTGAATCATACACTTTGGTCTGAGTAAACCTTGGTCCCAACAACACGGCAGGGTCAGCAAATGTAATGTGTGCCTACACTTTGTTCTGTGTTTGTGGCCCATATTTGAAGCTCAAAGGCAGATTGAGATGGAAAACCAAATCTGAAATTCTAAGACATGACCTGTGACTGTCAGGGAGTACAGACATGTGCTGGATTTGTAGAATATTCGTTTTCTTTTAGAAAACCCATTTCAGTAGCTTTTACTATGTATGCCAGTCACTTACAGATGCCAGCTGACACCTGCTAACTACTCCCTTTGCTTCCAGTCTTGCCTCCTCCTATCTGCCTACACACAGCTGTCTGAATAGTCTTTCTACATCACATATCTAGATCTGTTTCTCCACTGCTTGTCTTTTAATGGCTTGCATTGCCTATAGAAAACACATCTAAATTTCTTAGCGTGCGTAAAAGACCCGCACAACTTGGTTATGACTCAGCTATTTATCCTAAATGACTTTTGAATCTCCTTTTCCCTCTGCTCCTTCTTGCATACACACATCTTAAACTAGAGCTTCCATGACCCACACATCAGTTCCAGAGCAACCACAGTAAGAGCTGCCCCTCATGTAAGACCCCATAGGTGCCAGGCACCAGGCACATCCACGCCATCATTTTCTTAATACTCACAATACCTGTCAAGTAGGCATTACTGTCTCTGTTTTATCAGTGAGGTATCTGAGATGAAGAAAGTTAAAACAATCTCACAAGTTCACACAATTAGTAGACTGGAATTCTAACCCAGGAAATGCCACCTTTATGTACTGTAATGCCTCTCCACCCGCTTCTTTAATGAACATTCTTCAAGATTCCTTTAGAGTATCACTTTCCCTATGGAACCTTCACTGTTTCTGTACCATCTTTCCCAATAGCATGATCTGCAACAGATAGTAAGCCCTATCTTGTAATTATTTAGACTTCTTGCTAGATGGAGAATTTCTTTGGGAAGCATCCATGTCCAATATCCAGAGCATAGCAGTATATGGAGCAATATATAGCACATGCTTTTGTGGCCAAAATCTGCCAGACTACAGAAGCAACCATTGTAATAAAGTCAGTTTTCATGTCTAATAAAACTTAATATTTCACTGTTATTGAAAATAATTATGTGAATTTTATTTGTTTTTTTTGGTTTGTTTTTGAAAGAGAGAGAGAGCATGCACATGCACATGTGAGTAAAGGGGAGGGAGAGGAAAGAGAGACTCTTAAGTAGGCTCCTTGCCCCGCTGGGAGCCTGACATGGGGCTCAATCTCACCACCTTGAGATCATGACCTGAGCCAGAATCAAGAGCTGCTTGACAAACTGAGCCACCCAGGTGCCCCCCGCCCCAAATTTTGTGGATTTTAACCAGACAAATTTCTGCCCTTCTCAAAATGTTTCTTGGGTGCCATAAAGCTATTTGCATTGTATGTTAATTGCTGTTGTTGTCTATCAAAATGGCTTGTGTTCAATATTTTTAGTGTAAACACTTGTTATGTGTCATTTCTAGGCAGAAGAGGAATTTCAGAAAGCACAGAAAGTGTTTGAAGAGTTTAACGTTGACTTACAAGAAGAGTTACCGTCGTTATGGTCAAGGTAAAGTTGTTTCTGCACTGAGTGTACACATCCCTTTTAGAAAATCAAGAACAGGATATGCCTTCTCTTGTCTTTATTGCCGGTGATACCAAAGTACCGTCCAGGAGAAGTGTTCTGTTTCTGTGCTTTTCAGCATGGTAGCTACCTGCTGCATGGGTGGATTGCTGAACACTTGGACTATCGCTAGTATGGTGGAGGAACTGAATTTTAGATTTAATTTGTTTTGTTTTGATTCATTTAAATTTAAAGAGCTGTTCATGGCTCCAGCTATTACACCGATGGCACAATTTTAGACCTTGATAGATTTCTCAAGTGGAGCCCCCAAATCTCAGTTAGAGGCATTAGGAGAACTGCCCCCTAACTTTGAAATTTGCGAAGAGACCTTTTAGCTCTTTGTCAGGACTCCCTTTATTCCGAGAGGTCACCTAATCTTCCAGCTTTGATGCCAAACTTCTGCTTTTAGCTCCGACCTTTTAACCTGAACTTCATTCCCATTTGAAGTGCTAACTATTCTTCTTGCTATGGTTACTCTGAACTTCCCGTGGCATTAAGTGCATTTTCCATTCTTTGTTTTATTTTTCCCCCTCAGTGGTAGAACCAAGAAGTTGTTGGATGAAGTGGGGAGTGGGGCTTATGTGTCTCAGTTTCCATCAGCGCCTCATGCTCCCATACCAAATAAACAGAATTGTGCTTATTGTATGACCCTGCTTTAAGGCAAACCCTCTAGCCCAGCTTCCAATCAGATTGGCACTCCCCAAAACCTTCCTACATGGAAATTCTGGAGCCTTTTCATGTCCCCTAAAGTTGTAACCATTTTGAGGGTTAGAGTGAAGTTTGTCCAAAAAAATTGAATTTGTCTCAATTTAGGCACTCTATGTTTATTTTTGCATTACTAAAATACCTAGAAGAAATTTTGGCTAGTTCATGGTAAAATCAGCCTGTAAGGCATTGCCCATTTCAATGTCCAACCATATGGTCACGTCCAACCATAGCCCAAAGTTCAATATGTGTGAAATGAACTCATAGCTCATCTGAACTCACTCATTCTTTCAATATCTGCATCTCTCTTTGTGGTACTATCATTCTTGGGCTCCCAGCCTGCAAGCTGTGGCATCAGCAGCTATCAGAAGCCAGATGACCATGAAAGGAATCAATCCATCCTTTTTCTCTGTGGTCTCCTGGTCTCCTCTCTCCCTGTTCTCAGTGCTGTCACCCTTACCTTCACCATCCTCCTGTGGGTTATGATGGTGGTCTTGCCCTCACATTTGTGTCTTCCATCTCTTCCTGTATACCTCTTCAGAAGCTCTACCTTGACATCTCTGTGGTCTTCTAAGGAGCCTACTGTGTGTACCCAAAGAAGTGAGAATTTTGAGCAGTCTGAATGTATAAAACTTCTAGGGATCCAGATGAGACAGATATCTATTCATAATTTTAATTGAGTGATTCATACCTATTTAAAATCATAAATGAAATTATGAGTTTTTAAAGAAATATATATTTGCAGTCTTATATTTTAAGAAATACTTGTATCCAAAATCTTTATATCCATCTTTGGCATCCATGTCTTCATCCTCATTAAGGACACTCATCAAGTCGACCAGTAGTTCTCCAGAGTTTATAATTTTCCTCAACAGATATCCCATCCCAAGCACAAGTTGTCATTTGCATACAGTTTAGACAGTTACCCTGTTCATTTCCCCTCTAGAGGAATTTTTGTGGTCTGAAATGTCATTACTTCGTTGCTTTTAAAACTGATCTGTGCGAGAGCTTAGGTACCATAATGCTCAACACTTCCAATTATGAGATAATACTCCTAGGAAAATTGCCAAAATTGCCAAAGGACAGTTATTATTTGCCTTAATATCTATTGGGTATGTAACAAATTTCATTTTCTTAACGTTCTCTGTAAGCATCCAAAACTAGCATTGACTAATGTTCAGGCTTCTGTGTCTGCCCCAAATAGTATTTGGTCATTCAGTATAAGTACTTGTCAGAGTATCTTGTAATATGAGAGACTTTATAGGAACTTAAACACAATGGGAATATTTGAAGGACAAATTTTGGAGAGAAACCTTTCCCCTTATCTGGCCATTTGCAATCTAAATGCTTCAGTGCTTTTTAATCCACTGTCACTTATGCCTACACTCAAGGCTCTTTCCTTTGTATGTCAATCAGGTCCTGCCTTTTGATGAAGACCTAGATTAGGCCTCTCTTTATTTTAAATTTTATTTTATTTAAATTCAATTAATTAAATACGGTGTATTATTAGTTTCAGAGGTAGAGTTCAAGGATTCTTCAGTTGCATGTAGTATCCAGTGTTCATCACAATAAATGACCTCCTTAATGCCCATCACCCAGTTACCCCATCCTTCCACCCCCCTCCCCTCCAGCAATCCTCTGTTTGTTTCCTATGATTAAAAGTCTCTCGTGGTGTGTCTCCCTCTCTGATTTCATCTTATTTTATTTTTCCCTCCTTTCCTATGATCCTCTGTTTTATTTCTTAAATTCTACATATGAGTGAAATCATATAATTCTTTCTCTGATTGACTTATTTTGCTTAGCGTAATACCCACTAGCTCCATTCACATTGTTGCAAATGGTAAGATTTCAATTTTTTCTGACGACTAAGTAACAGTCATTACACACACACACACACACACACACACACACAAACACACACCCCACATCTTCTTTATCCATTCATCTGTCAATGGACATCTGGGCTCTTTCCATAGTTTGGTTATTGGGGACATTGCTGCTATCAACATGAGGGTGCAGGTCCCCCTTCGAATCACTGTGTTTGTATCCTTTGGGTAAATACCTAAAGTAGTGCAATTGCTGGGTCATAGGGTAGCTCTATTTTTTTACCTTTTTGAGGAACCTCCACTTTGTTTTCCAGAGTGGCTGCACCAGTTCAGATTCCCACCAACAGTATAAGAGGGTTCCCCTTTCTCTTCATCCCTGCCAACATTTGTTGTTTCCCAATTTGTTCATTTTAGTTAGGCCTTTCTTTCTATATGGTGTGTGTTTTTTGACTGGACCTACATTATTCAACCTCAATAATTGTGTATATTTTGTGTGATTATATGAGAGAAAAAGAGAGCTCATTTATTATTGAATACTATTTTCCAGGTATCATTTTGTGCACTTTACATACATAATCTCTAAATATCACAATTACCTCTACCCCCTCTTACAAATGAGGAAGCCAGGGATCCTGCTGGTTAAACACTTTGCCTAACACTGTAGGGTTTACAAATCCTAAAGCTGTCACTTAAGCACACTTCTGTGGTACTTCCAGTAAATTTTGATGTCTGTGTATAGGACTTCTCCTTACTGAAAAGGAGACTGTATGCAGACTTTCATAAATACAGTTAAATATAGTTTGTTTTGGAAAATTGTTTTATAAGTACATATGTTTTCTTCCCAACCGTGTTATTCCACCTTGAGATTGAAGTTAATACTTTGTGTCTTCTGTGCCTCCCTCCTGTGGTGAGATGAGTAATGACAGCATCAGTATTTAAGGAATGTGCCACTGCAGAGGTGCCTTGGGAAGAGCCTGAGAGGAAGTAATCACAGATGTAGGAGAAGGCCCAGTAGAGTAGTATCTTAAAAAGCCAAGAATGGGGCACCTGGGTGCCTCAGTTGGTGAAGCGTCTGCCTTTGGCTCAGGTCATGATCCCAGGGTGCTGTGATCGAGCCCCCTGCTCAGTGAGGAGTCTGCTTCTTCCTCTCTCTCTCTGCCGCCCCTCTGCTTGTGCTCTCTCTCAATAAATAAATAAAATCTAAAAGAAAAAAAAAGCCACGAATGGAGAGAATTTTAAAAGTAAAGGAGCACCAGGAGAATCATTTACACAATAAAGGTCAAGCAAATCAGACTAAAGGTGCATTGCTTTTGGTGAGCTTCCAGCTGATGGTAGGGTCAGAAGCCTGGCTGCAGGCACTGTAGACACCATGGCTGATGAAGTAGAAGCAGTGAATGTCGTTTTCTTATTTTGAGGATCTTGACTATGATGGACCTGAGGAATAGTTGGCAGCAGATATGGGGTGATGAGAGGGCAAAGGAAGCCTTTTAAAATAATCGTTATCATTTTGAGAAGATGGCAATGACAGCTGCAGGGTGATGTAGGACCGAGAATTTCTGGAGCAAGTGGAGGGTGAGGGGATCAAGAGAAGGTATTGGTGGAGCTGGGCACCCAGTGGGCACCCTGTGTTGAGAGGGTGCTTGCCTAATAAGCAAGATGCTGAACCTGAAGGGGACAGTAGCCTGGAAGAAAAAAGCCATTGATTTCTGAGACAGATAGAGAAAAAAAATCAGCAGGTGGAATGGAAGTGAATGAAGGAAGGATCTTGTGGTCTAGGACATGAGGTGAGGGAGGAGACCCCTGAATTTTCTCATCTTGGCTATGAGTGATGGCAAGGTGCAGGGTGTGCAGCAGAATGTACATGAATAAGCACATTGGGGTTACGAGGTCGGTGAGTTAGGAATTAGGGTTTTGCAAGGGGGTAGAGAGGGACATGGCGAGATGTGTGCCATGTACACAGTGGCCAGGGTAGGGGGCCGGGAGGTTGTACAGGGGCTGGATACGTGTGGCATGAATGTCAGAGGATCAGAGGTGAGATAGAGGAAAATTCTTCCTTCCCCACTCCATGCCCCTGGTATGTGAAGACGGGAGAGGATGCTACCTCCACCACATGGGGCTCCAGGGAAAACAGGGATCCCACCCCACTCCCCGCAGGCTTCCTTTAGGGCAGAGCCCAAGGGAGAGGGTCCTGGCCTGCACTCTGGGGCTGGGATAGTTTGGCTGTTCATCCTTTCCACTGTTTCCAAGGACAAAGATCCATCTCAATAAAGAAATTAAGTTGGTTCTGATAGCTAACCACAAGAGGCCTGAGGAGGCTTCAGAGGAGTCCTTCAGGGAAATGCTAATGTCTCAGAGCCCCTTGTTGATGAAGAGTTTTTGAAGTGAAACCTCCCAAACAGATAATACCCCATTCACAGCCTGGTACTCTGTGTATGTAGGTCTCCCTGCGGGTGATGGCAGTTTTCTATAAGCCAAGGCTGTAGTCACAATATGCTCTTGCAGTGGGAGAGTAAACGCTTATTAATTAATTAATTAATTCATTCATTCATTTATTGAATATTTACTGTGTGCCTGCTCTGCCAGATGCTGTATTAGAGGCCAGGTCTATGGTTGTGAATGAGTCAAAGGCAGTCCCTACTTAGAAAGAGTCTCCAATTCCATACGTTGAAGAAAACCATTTTCTGATGAAGTGCATCAGAAATGTTCAACACGTTTTTTTCTAAGTTAAATACATCCTAGTTGCCTTAACTTCTAAAATAAACCATAAAAATATTAGAAAGTTGCTTGATACTTTAGTCATTCCAAAACAAGGTATTTCTGGCACCACATCAATTATTTCTTTAAATAATACTCTTTTTTTTTTCCTAGAGAGAGAAAGAGAGAATGGTACGGGGGGGGGGGTGTGGGATGGGGAGGGACAGAATGAGAGAGAAAAATCTCAAGCAGACTTCCTGCTGAGTGTGGAGCCCGACACAGGGCTTTATCTTACAACCCCAAGGTCACGACCTGAGCCAAAATCAAGAATTGGACACTTAACTAACTGAGCCACTCCGGTGCTCCAATAATTGATATAAGCAAGATTGCTATATATCAGAAAACAAAATTTAAAGATAAAAGAATAAGAATTCATATTTTTGCTAGATATATCCAAGAATCAATATATTTAATAGCAATTCCCTTACAAATAAACAAGAAAAAAGCAAGCACTATGAAATGAACACAAAATATGAATAGGTGAGTCACGAAAGAAGAACTACAAATGGCTAATAAATAAATGAAGAAAATAGTATCCACTTTAATTTAAGGAATATAAATGTAAAAGTCAGCAAGCTTCTAACTCTTGCCTTCAAATTTACAAAGGTGTTGTGTAACTTCATCCTGAAAGCTGAGCGAGTATAAGGACCCAGCCTCTTTGGGAACAGCTTGGTACTCTGCTCATCAAAGCTTCTATCGTCTGTGCCTCTCACACAGCATTTATATTCAAGAAACTTATTCTAAGGAAATAGAGATGTGCACCAGGTTTTAATTCACAGATCTTTATTAGAGTTTTGTTTATCATAGTGAAAAATCAATGAAAATAAAAACAATACTCACCAATGAAATTCAACTACACCCTATGCCCCTCCTCCATCTATACCCCCATCCATCTACACCCCCCCATTTCCCATTCATCTATACTCCCTCCATCCATCAACGCCCCCACACCCATCTATACCTCCCAGTCCCATCCATCTACACCTCCCCATCCATCCACCCCCCCCATCCCTCATCCATCTGCTCCTGCATCTATTTAAATCTGACCCTTCTTCAGGACAGCCTGAGTTTATCTTCTCCAGCAGATGTTCGCAGCTGGCACAGGGCCTGTTAATTCCCCTCTCTTCTCAGTGTTTAAGCTGTTTCTGTCCAAATCTATTCATTTTTGATATTACATTGTGTATAGTCTTTTATGGTAACTTTACCATTCACATGCTGTGTTGAAATCTGCTTCTGTCATTCACCAGTGTGACAGAGCATGTGTTCACAGTTCTGCGCTCAAGTGCTCCTCTACCTGGACGGTTCATTCCTGGAGCCTCCAGAGCCCACCACTAGGCATGAGCCCACAGTGGATACAGCCTTTGTTGAGTAATTGAATGAGGGAAAGTATGAGGAATGATGGGTTGATGGGAGTCCTAGAGAAGGGGTCCTGGATTGGCACTTGAAGTGTGCCAGGAAGACTTGCCTGCAAACAGTACAGTGAGCTGGTCCCTCTGCAGTGATGTCTGAGCATCTGCAGTCTCCCCTCCCATCCAGCTGCTGCTTTAGTTAGCTTCCTCCATTGCAGGTCCTCTCCATTCCCCTGTCTCAGATATGGCTAGGGCAGCAAGAAACCATGGCCTGCAAATGGTCTGGAAGATCCTCTGCCGCAGAGCACAGGTCTGCCTGCCTCACTAGACTCTCATCTCCCAGGCTTCTGGTCTGACCCTCCCAAGTAGTTGCTATTTCTCCAATACCCTGTGCCAGGATTTTCTTCATTAATATATGGATGTGTATCTATCTATCTATCCGCCTATAGATAACATACATACAGATACATATACACACAATGGAATTTATTCAGCCATAACTGGTGGACACTGGGATTGTTTTCATATCTTGACTTTTGGTGAATAATAGTGCAGTGAACATGGCAATGCCTGTATCTCTTTGAGATCTTACTTTCATTTCCTTTAGAAATATACCCAGCAGTGGGATTGCTGGATCCAGTGGTAGTTTTATTTTTGACTTTTTGAGGAACTTCCCATAGGGTCTGCACCAGTTTACATTTCCACCAACAGGGCACAAGAGTTCCCTTTTCTCCACATCCTCACCAACACTTGTTATCTTTTGTTTTTTTTTTTTTTTTTTTTTTTTTTGATGATAGCCATTCTAATAGGTGTGAGGTGATACTGCATGATATCACTTAGATGTGGAATCTGAAAAAAAGGGCAAAATCCTAGAAATGGAAAGTAGAAATGTGGATGCCAGGGGCTAGGAGGTTGGGAACTAGGGCAAGGTTGGTAAAAGGCACACACTTATAGCTATAAGATGAATAAGCTCTGGGCATCTAAGGTAAAACATGGTAGCTGCAATTGATAACCTCTATTATGTAATTGAAATTCGCCAAGAGAGTAGGAATGTTCACACACACGATAAATATGTAATTGAAATTCGCTGAGAGTAAAAATGTTCACACACAAGATAAATGTATGAGGTGATAGCTGTGTTAATTAATTAGATTGGGGGAACCCTTCACAATTGTATACCAGGTCACCACAATGCATGCTTTAAATATCTTACCATTTTATTTGTCAGTTAAACCTCAATAAAGCTGAAAAAAAATGAAGGAAACTCAAATCAACTAGTCTTATAAAGTTAAAAAAAAAATTAAGTGGAACCTGGTAGGAATTTATTTTTTTTTATTTTTTTTTCCTGGTAGGAATTTAAAGTACAGGTTAAGCCATAGAGAAAGTAAGTCTTACTGGTGGGCTACATATAGTTCTTTTTTTTTTTTTAAAGATTTATTTATTTATTTATGATAGACATAGAGAGAGAGAGAGAGAGGCAGAGACACAGGAGGAGGGAGAAGCAGGCTCCAGGCATGGAGCCTGATGCCGGACTCGATCCTGGGACTCCAGGATCGCACTCTGAGCCAAAGGCAGGCGCCAAACTGCTGAGCTACCCAGGGATCCCCCTACACATAGTTCTTACCTATTATTTTCATCTCTGAATCTCGATTTTTATCTTTTATTTTGTTAAAATTCTAAACCACCTAATTTCATAAGAAAGCATGGTAATAATGGTATTTGTGCATAAGCAGAATTTCTTGGCAAGCAGTGCATGATTTCCATTGGTTTTCTTCCTTTTGGGTTCAAATATAGGTTCTCCACTTAGTGACTGCAAGACTTTGGACAGTTAATCTCTCTGTGCCTCCGTCGACCAGAATATAAAGGCTCACTACCCTGGGGGGTGGTTACAAGAACTAAGTGAGGGAACGTGTAAAAGTGCTTAGATGGCAACTCTTTTACAAGCTTTAATGATGATAGAACATTTGTTCATCTCTGCATATTGGAATCCTGCTCACGCAAGGCACAGTGAAACAGGAAACTGCCTCTTCTCTATCCTTTCTGTCACCTTTTAAATATTTCATTCATTTCTTTTAGAAAGAAAGAGGGAGAGAGAAAAGCAAGCACAAGCAGGAGGAGGGGTAGAAAGGAAGGGACAGGGAGAGAGAGAATCCAAACCAGACTTCATGCTGAGCATGGAGCCCCATGTGGGGCTCAGTCCCACAAACCTGAGAGCATGACCTGAGCCAAAACCCAGATCAGATACTTAACTGACTCGGGCACCACCCGGGCACCCCTCATGTCATTGTTTAAGTAAGAGGGATCCAACTGTGTACAGGCACATTCTTACTTCCCAATAAGAAGTAGTCAAATTACAAACCCCTCCAGTCTATGTTTATTCCGTATATCCAGCCTATCTAATGTTTCTGGCATCCGGGTCCTTACTTGGGGTTTGGAATCTAATAAACCAATCAGGATCCTGGAGTTATTTTTGAGAATGTCATTGAAACAAGAATACGGATTAAATCAAAATAACAAGGGACTAGATGGATTCTGAAGGATTGGATTAATACAGAGTCCACAGAGCCCTCATTTAATGCAAAGGGAGCCTATACAGGAGGTACCAGCCTGAATCCACAGTGCTGATGGGGGTGCTTACTATTAGGGACCTAAAAGTCTCACATCACAGAACACCCCCACCCCATGGCTTCAAAACGTGTTTGAGATCTTGTGCTTTTATTTGCTCAGTGAATGCACACTCTCACTTTAGCTGATGAATTGTCATTGATTGGTGGGTTTTCTACTTCCCCCATCAAACACATTTCAGAATCCAAATACATGGTACCCAAATGAGACCATGCATATGTTATGAAAATTAATGATAAACGTCTCTATCTCCAGCCCTTTACAGGACATGCATCTAAAGCACAAACTCTTAGGACAGAGACTTCCAAAAGTCTCTCTGCACTAGCAGCTTCAGTGTCACCTAGAGCTTGCTAGAAGTGCAAATCTTCCATCCCTACCTGAGACCTGCTGAATTGGAAACACACTTCCACCTGCACGTCTTAATGTGAGAACCACTGTCTCCAGGCGTCAGCTGCATTAGGAGAGGTTATGTTCTGTGCCCGCAGATTCAGGGCAAGGTCACTCAAAATTATATTAATTAATTTTATCGCTGTCCCTAATGCATTTTATCGCCATTGAAAGTAAAGTTTTGCTGACTGGTCTTTCCCTACTCTCCTTTCTTTCCTCTTTGTGTCTCCACGTGGTAGACGGGTTGGGTTTTACGTCAACACTTTCAAAAATGTTTCCAGCCTTGAAGCCAAGTTTCATAAGGAAATTGCCGTGGTGAGTAATGATGATTATTTTTACTTATGGAATATGAAATAAATGAACTTTTTTTTTCTTCTGGAAGCAAATGAAAGGATGTAGCCTTGTCACGTGTGTGTTTGTTTTCATAGTGTTACTAGGCTTAGTGCTATTCCTGCAGTGTTTTATAGTGACCACATAGTTCTATTTTGTACAGATTTTATCTCTGGATGTACAAATAGGCTCTCAGGAATCACGGCCTGTTTTCATTTCTTTTCTGAAATGCTTTTTCTCCGTGTCACTGTTGCATAGTCTTATTTTGTTTTGTTTTCTGTCGGCTTTAAAAGTTGGCATTCGGGCGACACTTCTTAGGCTGAGGAAAAATTGGCGTCAGAACATTCAGACAATCAGCAGTTCTGTCATCAACTAACGCCTTGGATGACTTTATCTCTAGCTGAGTCAATGGGAGCAGTAAGATTTGTTTCCTCTTCTGTACGCTGGTTAACAAATATATTTTGGGTTTTCTTTCAAGGTTTATTTGTGTTTGTGGCCTTTCAATTTTGATGTGAGTTTTCAATTGCCCCTTTGTAGAATTTAAGTTATTCTGAGACCATCTACTCTTTTGTAAGATTCTCGGTAGACAATTCCTTCCTTGGGGCAGTAGCCTGGATTGGCACCAGAATGACTTACAGCTCATAGACAAATGGTCTCTGTCCCTTTAGCTTTGCCACAAATTGTATGAAGTGATGACGAAGCTGGGTGACCAGCATGCTGACAAGGCCTTCACCATTCAAGGAGCTCCCAGGTAGGCCGTCTTCATCAGAGCCAAGTCATGTCCATTCACCTTTAACACAATGCTTGTTGCAATTTCTGCTGTCTGCACCGGCCTATGCTATTTTACTCATTCTAGAAAAATCTAAAACTAAGAAGCCTTTCCACATAGAGGCTGATAGCAGCCTCAGTTCTGTGCTTTTACATTTACCTTTAGCTTTCAGATTTACTCATTGTGAGCTTCCATCGTGGTCACAATAGAACTAACTGCCTTGTTCATTTTCCATGGGACCTGTCAGCAATGCTGTAAAAGTTTAACAGACTTTCTAGTCGTGCAACTGTTAACTTTCTTTAGAGAAGAAAGGAATTTCCCAGACTCACAATACTGAGTCCTCAGGCTTATCATTGGTGCTGGCATCTTTGATGAATCCATTTTGGGAAAGGAAAGAGGATGTAGGTGAGACCTCACCATTATCTTGCCTCTTAACTTGACCTCACGAACACTGCATTGTTTTGATTCTGTTGTACATCGTTATTGTGAGTATGTCAGTCAAATACACCAAACACCCAGTGATCCATGAGTTAATTGTCTACCTTTTCAGGAGTTGGCCTAACACCAGCTTTCTCCTGTGATTTTGGAATCCCTCTATTCCATCCTTCTCAGTACGTATTCAAGGAATGCAGGCTAGTGAGCCTTGGGCTGGAAGTCATAAGATCCAGCTTTCAGGTTTATGACTCTGCACTCAACTTACTTTTGCCTTCGTTGAGTGCATCCAATTAATCCTCTGATTAAAGATCTTCTTTTTTTTTAATCAACAAAAAATATAGTATCAAACTAAATGGCTTGTAAGGTAATATGCAGTCCTAATATTCTATATTTGCATTTTTAATGTCATCAACATAAACACTCATACACACACATTTATAAAAACGCTCCTGCACAGGTGCTGCCATCACCATATGTTCACATCTCTCTGGAGAGATCTAATTTTCATATTTGATATTCTTCATATTAATCACATTCATAAGAGTCTCTGCTCCATGAAATAAACATCTAGTATCTCTTATTTCTAAGGGAAAGAACATCCCTAAAAGAATACATGAAAGGACTACTGTTTCCAATATTGTATTTCAGCATCAGCTTCAAACAAAGAAAAAAATTGCAATAAGAATATCAAAATGACATCAGGTGTTTTAGCAGTGACGTACATGAAAAAATTAAGGGTTCTCCCTCATAGACACACGAAAGGGACAGCTGTGTCTGAAAACCTCAATATTGCTGAATCAGATAAACTGAGGAAGCGGGGCCATGGCCACTTAACAAGTGTTCCTTTCATTTTTTTTCATCATTCGTCTGCAGAACAAGGTGGTGAGTGGGCTCAGTGGACTCTCTGCTGAGCACAGATTGGGGCTGTGCTTCCCAACAGAGACGGTGATTGCTGGCACATAGCCTCAATCATGCGGCCCATCCCTGCTCTCCACAGGACCCATTCCTTTGAATATGTAGACCATGCTGTGGTGTATGCACTTGTTTATTTTCAGTATAGAGCTTGCTCCCTCAATCTGTAGACATTAGAAAGACTTAGAGAGTAGGATGTTAACCCAAATGCCCTCCTGGTCATTGCATTTGAGCTGGTCCCAAGCATCTCACCAGGTGCCGGGAACACAGTGGGTTCTCAGGAAGCATTACTGACCTTCTGCCTTCACACGATTGGTTTGGACAAGTCAAGGTGTCAGATCTGAGTCATTGTTTTATAAGGTGTAGAAAGAGGAACAACTAATGAATTTGTTTCCAAATATCAGAAATGACTCTTATGAAATCTTACTTAACACTATCCTGAAGATGCCTTTAGCATAAAATTTATAATTTTCAGGGTAGGTAGTTTTTCTATGGATTATGACAGAGCAAGATTCTCTCATAAATCAAAAGTGAAACTAGTTCAGCTAAGTCAGCTTATATATGGAAGATTTCTCCAGCGTCTTTTTTGGCACTGTGGAAAGAACAGGGGGTTTGCATTCCCAAGGCCTGAATACAGATCCACCAAATTGCTGAGTGACTTTAGGCGTTTTTAACCTCTCTGTGCCCCACTTTACTACCTGTAAAGTGAGGACAACGATGCATGGGTATTGTGATGGTGGGAGATAGTATGTACCAATGGGGTCTGGCACACAGTGGGCAGTAAGTGCCAGTATCAATAACAACCAGAATTAACGTAGAAGGGGGCTAGGTGACAGACAGAACCAGTTGTGCCTCAAAGATTCCTCTGCGATGGAGGACACCCTGGAGAGTAAGTGCTGTTCTTTAGAAGGCCCGTTGCTGACTCTCATGTGTTTACCTAGTGATTCTGGTCCTCTCCGCATCGCAAAGACACCGTCACCGCCGGAGGAGCCTTCACCCATCCCGAGCCCGACAGCCAGTCCCAATCACACGCTGGCACCTGCATCTCCTGCACCAGCAAGGCCTCGGTCACCTTCACAGGTAGGAAGAGATCATATATACTGGGGAGAATGGAAGAGCTGGTGGTAAGGTGACCTCATATGGGATAATCCTATGGTGCTGGGGTATTAAAAGGAGTTTCCGGCTAGGGAGACCTAGAGGCTGTAGGCATTGTGATGGGCACTAGGCAATCAGCTTATTTCTCCAATTTGGATTCCTATTTCCTCATATGCCCAATGTTTCAGTGTGTTGAGACTTCTCTCTACAGCCTCAGCTTCCTTAAGTTCATGTGCCCACTTCTCCACCCGCCTCTCACTGTCAGAAGGCCCCAATCAACCCTCCTTTCTCCCTGGACATTCCGTCCTGTGGCACTTTCTCTTCCACTCAGGGCAAGTATGGCCAAGGAAGCCATGATGTTTATATGCCACTTCACATTTTTGGTATCACCCACAGTATGTGGCACATGAGTAGACACTCAATAAAAGTGTCTGGAACTAAGGGAATGAGAGAAACAAAAAGGGCTGGAAAAGGTAAATACAGAGAAACATGACCACCCTTGTCTTCCCTACTTTGGGTGAAGATGAAATTTCTCCAGGATGACTTGAAGTCTCCAGTATTCTTCAATCTTTGAAACCAAAGACAGTGGCGAGAAGATCCACGGAATTGATCTGTAAAGTCCTTACTTCTCAAAACACTGCAGTGGAAAGTGAAATGCATGCTGTCTGTGGGTGGTCTTAGTGATTCCAGTGAAAAGCTTTCCCGATTTTAGTGTGAAAATTCTAATTTCTTGCTGAAATGAGGCGTCCGTTCTGGTTGGCTTCACAAAGTGGGTCACCCTGGTTTAACTAGAGAGGCAGAGGTGCTGTGTGTAGCGCTCAACCTGAGCTGGATGGGGTCATGTTGCCTGAGTGCTTCTCAGGGGGGCCTTTGTTTATCAGTGCTCCCCTGGCCACCAAGGTCGACAGCATTCTCAACTCAATCAGGTGGCCTCATTCCTCTAAGCATATCTGAATCGTAGTCAGTGACACATCTGTCCGTCCAGCGCCATTCGAGTGGGATGTCTACACATCTCGCATGCCGTCTTTGGCCCCAGTCATTTGCTTGTGTTTCTGATGTTTTGTAGACAAGGAAAGGGCCTCCCGTCCCACCTCTGCCTAAAGTCACCCCAACAAAGGAACTTCAGCAGGAGAACATCATCAGTTTCTTTGAGGACAATTTTGTTCCGGAAATCAGCGTGACGACACCTTCGCAGGTACGTGCCTGCTGCAGAACTGGGGTGACCTCAGAAGGGCCGTGGCAGAGGGACCCTCAGGGACCAGCTTTAAAGGTGACAGATGTTAGAGACGGGCAGTATGATTTCAGGCCTCACTCAGGTTGGCTTTAATTACTCAGTGTGTCTAAGGCATTCTCAGATGGGGGGGTGTACATATGCAGTATTTGGAAACGCTGAAAAGTGTAAAAATGAAGAATTTTAATCACCACTGAGGTCGTACGACTCTGATGTACCAACTAAGGCGTCCTGGTTTATTTTCCCTCAGGCTTTGGTTTTAAGTATGTATCGATTTTATACCACAAAATTTAGATTGTGTTGTTATGTATCCCTGACTTTTCTACTTAATCTTCCTGAACCTTTTTTTTTCTTTTTTCATGTCGTAATACTGGCTTTTCAAAAGAAAACGTATCACCAGAGTATTGTATCTGATGGATGGACCAGCCCATGATGGTGATCACAGGTTACCCTTCATGGTTCTGTTTCATCAGCACTCCTCTGAACATCAGGAGATATTAATTCATGTGTACACCCTCAATTATTTCTTCTGTATTGCTTCCTGGTAGAGAACAGGAAATTGAAACTAAGAGAGGTGAATGTTTCTAAGCCTTTTTGCTCTTCAGCACGAGTAACTATATTCATTTACATGATTTGGCGAATGGAAACACCAGCGTTTGCCCTGGTTTCAAAGGCATCTGGGTGCATCTTCCCCATCTGCTCCTCCTGCAGCCCCCTCAGTAGGTGGCAGATCCTTCTCTGCTACCCACTTGGTTCTCCCCTTGCCTCGAGAACGGAGATCCTTGACTTCCAGAGCTGTTCCTCATGCCATTGAAGCCATTTCTTTAAGAGTGAAAGTCCCCAGAAACATCCTGCCAATCTCACTCACTCCCTGTGTTCTCAGGGTCAGAAATAATAACGTACGTTTTGCAAGAGGTGTGAATGTGGTGCTGTAATTACTGCGGACATCAATAACAACACTGTGTACGGCAGGCCAATTACAATCACATCCTGTTGATAATAACAGGAATAACGTACTAACCGCAGAGAGCTCAGAAAATAGAAACTCAGAAGCATTACAGTGGCAACTGTGTCATCACTTTTAAGGGCATTTGTCAATAAGGCGCAATGCTTTTAGCTATTGTTTTCTTCCTTCTGTTGTTTGTAAGAGATGGTGAATTTGGCAAGCTGACGAGGCCTTGGCCTGTGGGTTAGCAGCTCCTTTGAACAGGGTCCTTGCACAGTGATGAGTGCCTGGACACGTGCACTTGGCTCAAGACCCCGCCATGTAGCAACAGAAGCAACTGAACTAGAGGCATCTTGGCACGTCGACCAGTCCTAAAGCAAAGATGAAGTTCAGAACTGTCTTGTCCTGTAAAATGTTCTGTTATTTGCGGTGCACTGGCTCACATAAGGGTCCTTCGTGGTAGGAAAAAATAAAAAAAGAAAGCCCTTTTTAAGATTGTGGCTCAGCACCACTTTTCTTTTTTTAGGATTTTAAAACTTTATTTGACAGGGGGAGAGGGAGAGAGAGAAAGAACGCACAAGCAGGGGGAGAGGGAGATGGGAGAGGGAGAGTGAGAAGCAGGTTCCTCGCTGGCTGAGCAGGGAGCCCGATGTGGGACTGGATCCCAGGATCGATGACCTGAGCCGAAGGCAGACATTTCACCAGTGAGCCACTCAGGAGCCTCTCAAAGCCCTTTTAAAAATCACAAATGCTAGAAGAGGCCCCGAAGCCCTTCTAAGAGCATCAACTGTCTTGATACTGTTGAGGAGCAGTGGTGGGAGAAGTCAAGAGTTGGGGACAGAGGGCGAGGAGACAGCTTTGAAAGCAGAAGTGGCTCCGGCTGCGGCAGCTGCGGTGACTCAGTTGCCTGGAGAGCCCCTGCCCCCCCACCTGGCTTGTCTTGGCGCACTTTCCATGGCCCTGGGGAGGGAAGGAAGGCGCCTCTCCACCCCGACCACCTTCTATAACCCGCTGGCTGGGTGTCCCCTCCCTCCATCAGTGTGCGAGGTAATTTTGACAGAACGAACCACCAGAGACCTGGTGGGGGTGCCTTTTTGGGCTTCACCTTCATTTATGTTGTTTTCTTTTCATTGGGTGGAGGCAGAAGGAAGTTTCTCTGTTTTTTTTTTTTTTTCCATATCTGAAGCAACATGGCACTAGCAATGGACCACACTGTGTGACCAGAAGCATCTCCAGTGACTAAGTGGCTGTTAATCTCATATCACGATGTCAAGAGAGGGCGTGAGGCAGGAATTTATGTTTCAGTCTACTTTCTCGCTTACTGAGTATATACTCTAGCTTTATTTAAGATTACACAGTTGCTGCCATTCTCTGATGCATCTTGACAGCTTCCTCGGTTGCTTGTTCCTCTGCAGGTATCCACAGAACCAGTTTGTGTTCCTTCACCCCTTTCGGGTCACATCCAGCAGAGTTTCTGAGTCAGCAGTTTTGGGGTGGGGGGCAGGAATCTGTATTCTTAACAAGCCCCCAAGCGATGCTGATGCCACTGGTCATGGGATCCCACTGTGAGAACCCCTGTAGGCCAGGATTTCCAAATTTATGGCCATGAACAAAGCACCCCAGTGACTGAACAGATTTCTTCCAGGAAAATATCTAGCTGACTTAAGGATATTTCATGATTGACCATTTATAACTGCTCCACTTAAAAATAGTATGATTTGAAGTAGTCCGTGTTTTGGGCTGTTGGACTCACACATACATCTGTGCCTGTAATACCAGATGTGTTAATTAGATTATATGTGAGGCTACGTATTCTAAGCAAATGGGCTGTCTCATCGGGGCTATAATGTTTTAGACGTGCACAGGTAAACGATGAAAAAGTTCAATAGAAATGCCAGGAGAAAATGAGACGCCAGCTGCATGGAAGCAGAGTATTGGAAGCTAGAAAGCCGAGATGTGTCTGCAAAGCATTTGTCCCAGATATGTGTATGTATACTAATAGGGAATAGTCCGTTTTCAGTTTTGTTTTGATATTTTTACAAAGTTTACTAGGTCATTCTACATTGAATCGATTGGTTTCTGTCCCCGGTTTGCTGTTTTTATCCTCTGCTCAGTGGGGAAGAACAGGATTTGTATTAATTCCACCCAAAAGCTCCAAGTGTGGTGACTGAAAAAATCCTTACCTCTGATTTGTATGTCCTGTCCACCCAGCTCTGTTACGGTGACAGCCTCTCCTGAGTGAGTCCTGGGATTGAAAACAAATCCATCAGAAGGAGCCCTCTAAGGGCCCCAGACCTTAACTATATCATAGAATCTTCTCTGGGTGATATCCTTACCTGCTTCCAGGGCGAGGTCCACATGTCAACACCAAAGGGCTGACCTTGCTTCTCTGGTTGTGTGTCTACAGAAATGGAACTGCCAAAGGACAAACCCAGCCCTGTCTGTTTTCCCTCCTAAGAAACTAAATAGGAGGAAATCACCTGTGTGTGTGTGCATGTACTTCTGCATTATTTTTTTTAAAAACAGCATTTTCTATCTGGTCCCACAAGACACTGTAAAAAGGGGTTCCCGGTCATATGAGGGGCTGCATCTCCTTTTGCTTAACATAGCTTATGTCAGCATGTTCAATGCTCGCAGAAGTTCTGCAGCAAAAGCCCTATTTGTTTAAATCAGAACTTCTCAGTCTCTCCCTTTCCTCCCAAAGTACTACCTATTCCAGGGAAATGAGCGTTTTACTGAAACATGTTTAAAAAGGAAAGATTAAAAGATATTAGGTCTCTAAACACCAAATTCATGGCATATAAGTAGGATTTTGACAGCTTAAGAGGAAAAAAAAGGCAATTATATACACATAGGTATGTACACATGCAAGGTTGTTTCTTTTTCCTTCAGAAAATGTTTGGGATTGCTTTCTCATCTGTCTTTAATTAGATCTATGTTCACCCTCCTCTCCCATGAGGGCTTTCCTAAGGGGTTGTGGCCCTGGGCAGGTATTTTTGGATGGAGGGCTTCTGTCCACATAACCTGTTTGAGTCACTTGAAATGAGCATATCGGCAATGTTCTGGTGGCCAGTCTGATGGGATTCCATGCACGAAATGCCATGCTGGCCAGTAGGAGCAGTCTGCTCACCAGCCACCCTTTTGGAAACAAACCTGGCCACCACATTCCAGGACAGCTGGGTGGATGTGCATCCCAGAGTTCTGGGACATAGGATGGATGCTCCATAAAGACTAGGGTCACAGTGTGGGTCCTGGTGCAGACTTGGGCGCCCTGACCATCGGATAGCACAGCTAGCCAAGCTCCCACCACCAGAAAAGGACTTAGAAAGTGTCAGAAGAGGTGCTCAAAAAGGTAGGAGCCCTCTGAGAGACAGGGTTAGGGTCAGGGGCAGGTGACAAAGAGGAAGAAGTGATTACCTGTTTTGGGATTGTTTTTTCTTTTTCATAGCAGGTAATCCTTAGCTATTAACCTAAATCTTTTCCCAACAAAAATGTTGCATATTTTCCCTCTTTCATATAACATTCTCCTTTACAAATCCAGATGGATTATCTTTTCTTAAAAATTTTATTTATTTATTCATGAGAGACACAGAGAGAGGCAGAGACACAGGGAGAGGGAGAAGCAGGTTCCCTGCGGGGAGCCCGTTGCGGGACTCGATCTCGGGACCCCGGGATCACGCCCTGAGCCAAAGGCAGATGCTCAACTGCTGAGCCACCCAGGTGCCCCCAGACGGATTATCTTTTGACCATCCCAGCTTATTCCTCTAGGCCCACTCTTACTGGGGACACCTGCTGTGCTGGGAGACAAGAGGACAGCACAGCCTTGAAGTCGCATGGCCGTGGGCATCAAGTTAGCACTGTTAACTCTGGTACCCTTACATCTCTGCTTTCCAGCCAAGTGCTGCAGCTCACATTTCAAGTTCCTGAAATCATCCTATTTTTCTTAGCCAATCAAATGGAAGTAGATTTTCAACTTTCTTAGCAAGTTCACGAGATGGTCTTTTTTGGCGTGTGTGCT